CATCCCTCCTTCCTCTTCCCCCCGCGACCCGACCCCTGCCCCGTCAGTCCCCTCCCTCCCCTTGGTCCCCCCCTCCCTCCATCCCGGGGGCAGCGGGAGGACGGTGGGCTCCGCCGTGGGGGTATGGGATCAGCACACTCCACCGCTTTTCCGGTTTTTTTTGTTTGTTTTTATTTTCCACTTTTTTTCCATTTTAGTTTTCTTAAAAAAATATGAAGAAGTCCCTGCCCCTGGCGTGGCACTTCTTCACGGCATGGTGGCGGGTGGCAGCCGGGCGGCTGCAAATCTGGGAGAGGGGCGGCGAATCTGGGCAGGGTCCTCCCCAGCGGGAGTGGGGAGGGGGGGGCTCCATGGGGGACGAGCGGCTCGGTTTGGTGCCCCAACGCTGCCGCAGCCTGGGAGGGGGCAATGGGGGGGGAAGGCTCCAAAATACCTGGATGGGTGCCCTCGCACACACGCAGACTGGTGTGCACACACGTGTCCACGGGCACATACATGCACGTCTCCCACAGCTGCAGAAAGACAAAAGCGCACACACACACCCCCCAGCCTACGGGGTGACGCCTGAGCTCTCCCCAGTACCCTGACCCGCCAGGACCTGGCAAACCCTCCCTGCTACAACCGCGCCTGTGCTCGCCCCGAAGGTGACACGTGCCCAGCTGATGGCATCGCATGGGGCCGTACCCCCTCACCCACACGCTCCCAGAGACCCCAGCCCATCCCCCGGCCTGGGGTGGGGGGCCGGGCTGTGCGCCCGCTGCAGGGATGGGAGCATGGTGGGGCCGGGGGCCCCCTGCACCGGCTGTGCCCCGGGCCGGCTGTCCCTGGCCCCACTCCCGCGCCCCAGGGAGGTGCTGCAGTGATGAAGGGGGGGGGCCGGTGTGGGGGCGATGGGGGGCACCGTGCAGCCGGGATGGGGTGCAGGAGCCCCTGGCCCCCATCTGCCTCCAGCTCCGGTGCCCGCCGCCCCTTTCTGCAGCCGTCAGCCGAAGTAGGGGTTGTCATGCTGGAAGTTGTAGTCAGGGCAGACCTTCTGGACCAGCTTGTAGTCGATGCTGAGGAAGGAGATGAAGATGCAGATGACCTTGAAGGGCTTGGCGCAGAGCCAGGCAGCATGGCTCTGTGTGTGCTCGGTGAAGCACACCTTGGAGGGGTCGTACAGGCAGGGCTTGTTCTTCCGCGCCCGGTTGGTCTTCTCGTATTCCACATGGCAGTTGAGGGCCTTGGCCGGGCGCCCCTCGGGCAGGGTGCTCTGCTGGGGGGGTGGGCGGGGGAG